CGTCTACGCAATGTTCAACGTAATCAGGAGAACAGTAATAATGCTTGGATAGATTTTTCAGACTCAAAAAGCAAGTCTCGTCTGGGAGAATGGAATAATCTCAGCAATGCCAAGATGCATAATTATAATGTTCAGAGGCAGGGTCTAGCTTTAGGCGCAGATACTACACTTGGAGATTGGGCAATCGGAATAACGGCAGCCATTAATAGCAAAGATTTAAATAACAAAAATAATGCCAATGCTAAAATCGATAATTATCAGTTCGGTATCTATATAGGGACTCAAATTGATCAAATCAATTTTCGTTTCAGTGGTACATTGGGACGTAATGAGGTTAAATCACGATTTAATGATCAGAATGATGGTCAATTTAATGCAAAATACAATGGTCGTACTTATCAGTTGAACGCTGAGATGGGCTATGCATTGCAACACAATAACCTATATATGGAACCATTTATCGGTGTTGCATACGACTACTTAGAAAATGATTCCATTCAACAAAGTAATGGATACTATTCACTAAATAGTGAAAAAACGAATATTGACCGTGTATCTTCAACTGTCGGTCTGGATATATCTCAAAAATGGAACGTATGGGATACAACATCTCTAAGTTTAAATGCAAGCTTAGCATGGCAAAACCGTTTAAAAAATAATGATAAAGCGGGCAAATTAACATTTATATCAAATAACTCACTGATTGCTGGAGATGCTGGTTATTTAGATGTTCCCAATAATCAGAACACAGGCATCATCAATTTTGGTTTCAATGTCGATATCGCCAACACCCACGGGTTTTCGGTCAATTATGAAGGACAGTTCGCGAAAAAATATAGTGAAAATGGCATAAGACTCCAATATGGCTATAAATTTTAATCAATAGGTTGCAATATTATTATGAAAAATAGCTTGTTTAAAAACATCATGTTGATATGCATATTCGGTCATGGATTACATAGCATGGCATTAAATGCAGCACCTTACTCAAATCAAACTGGTCAATCACCACTAATTGTTGCGCATCGCGGTGGAACGGCAGATGCACCTGAGAACACAGCCTATGCAATTGATCTCGCTTTAAGGAATCACGCAGATGTGATCTGGATCAGCGTACAGTTAAGTAATGATGGTGTTCCTGTACTCTATCGCCCTAATAATCTGAATGCTTTAAGTAATGGCCAAGGTTTGGTCTCTGCATATACTGTAAAACAATTACAGGGCTTGGATGCTGGATGGAATGTCGCCCGCAATGCAGGACAACAAACAATTTACCCATGGAGAGGTAAAGGAATCCGTATCCCAACACTTCAACAGGTGCTTACTCAATTTCCTCGAACCACTTTTTATATTGATATTAAATCGCCTGATGCAGATCCGGTGCAAATTGCTACGGCTATTAAACGTGTACTCGTTTCCACCAACTCACTTAACCGAGTAAGGCTCTACTCTACTGAACGCCGTTATACAGATGCCGTCAAACAGGTCGGTCAAATTCCGTATTTTGTTGCAAGAGATGATACTCGGGATATTTTAGCTCGTGTCGCGCTGAACCATAATTGTCAGGCTGCTCAAGAACCAATTGGGTGGCATGGTTTGGAGTTAAGACGGCAGGTTGAGGTTGTAGAAACCTATACCTTAGGTGAAGGCCGTTCAAAAGCAGAGTTTGTTTGGGATAAGGAAATTATGAACTGCTTTAGGACACAAGCAGCAAATCGTATTGTCCTGTTCGGTATCAATTCTGAAGCAGACTATCGAATAGCAAAACAGTTAGGTGCTGAAGCCGTAATGGTCGATTCCCCTGCTCAATTTTCCAATCGATGAAGTGTTTAAGTTAACTCAACTCATAGATCATTAAACTCAGACAGTTCAATATAAATTGAACTGTCTTACTCAATCTTACTTTCGTTAAAGATCACCATTAACTAAGCATTAGACAGGATGGCTGGTCAACCATTCTCGGGGAGACATGCCTACCCTGACTGAAAATGCGCGAGATAATGCTGATGGATTAGCATAACCCAGTTCTTCAGCCAATATTTTAATTGAATGCCCTTCACGCAATCTACTTTGTGCCAAAGCAATACGCCAGTCTGTTAAATATTCAGCTGGTGTCTGTCCCATCACATCACGGAAGGTATTGGCAAAAGCTGTTCTAGACATACATGCCAGTTCAGCCATGCGCTCTAGTGTCCACGATTCACCTGGATATTCATGTATTCCCACCAGCGTGCGCGCCAAACGTGGATCTGAAAGACCAATAATAAGTCCAGTGCTTACCCCTGCTTCATGAGGATGATCTAATAACCAACGTAATAGTTGAAGTACCACCACTTCAAATAACCGATTCGCTAATAATCGTTGCCCACAACGGGCATGGTCTGTTTCAGCAAATAATAGCGCAAGCGCCTGATCCAATCCTTGTACACGCGCTAGAGGAAGTGCAATTACGGCAGGTAATGCCCTTACCAGTGGATTCTGTTGCCCACCATCCAGTATCAACCGCGCGCAGGTAAAATCAGCACCTTCTCTGGGCGGGTTATGAAAATGATGTGTAATTGGGCCAGGATAAAAAAGTAGCGTTGGTTCATCAAAACGCATATGTCTTGGCAAATGCGCCATAGCTGGATGACTGACTTCCAGTTGTCCCTGACGTAAGACATGTAAATAGCCAAACCCTTCACAAGCATCAAAATGGCTGACGCCACATAACACACCAGTATGGTACAACTCTGCCTGCATACGGAAACGGTCAAGTAGACCTGAAAGGCGATCAATGGGGTGAATAGTTTTCATTTGAACGAATTGATATATTTTATGAACATATTGTATCTAATCATACAGTGAATTTACACATAATAATCAAAGTTTGATGCACTTCTACTATCACTACGATCCTTTAAGGAGAACAACATGTCACGTATCAACCTTGACACTCAACTTGCACCCCAAGCAAGTCAACCTTTATTAACCCAAATTCAACAAGCTTTTGGCACGACTCCAAATATGTTTAAGGCAGTGGCAAATTCGCCAGCAGCTTTACAAAGCATGTGGTCCGCTTTTGCTGCCTTAGGTAAAGGTACACTTGGTGCAAAATTAGGTGAACAGATTGCTGTTGCAATCGCCAATTTAAATCGCTGTGAATATTGCTTAGCAGCACATACTGTACTCGGTCAAAATGCTGGCGCTAGCGCTGCTGAAATGGCTGAAGCGCAAATAGGAAAAGCAGCTGATGATAAAACAGCAGCAGCACTGACTTTTGCTTTAAAGGTGGTCAATCAACGTGCTCAGATGACTGATGCTGATATCACAACACTTCGCAATGTAGGTTTTAATGACCAACAAATCGTTGAGATCATGGCGCATGTGGCTTTGAATATATTCACTAACTACATCAATATTGCACTAGATACGCCAGTAGACTTTCCACGAGTCGAATTGATATAAAACATACCGACCTCTCGTGTATAACAGAGAGGTCGCTTTCATTAAATATAAGATTTTCTTTATGCGTTATTGCACTTCATCTAAAAATCCAAGTAATTTAAATGATTGAACTTAAATCAAAAGGATCTATTTCAGAATTAATGGGTTGATAGGCTTGGATAAAAGTCGGTGACATCCGTTTCGGACGCCCTGAAGCAATTTCTATACATGCCCATTTGGTATTGCCAGTAAAGAGCAAGCTTTTGTCTTTGGCATTAAAAAAAGCATACTGACGGAAAGAATAAAGTGCGTTGATCTCGTATAACCAAGTTCTCAAAATAATATCATCATCTAACATTGCTGCTTTGCGATACTGAACATGATGTTCTACAGCAACCATTGCATGTTTCATTTCTAAATATTGATCGAGTCCAACACCCAATGTTTCGATATGTACAGATGCAACATCCTGCATCCATTGTACATAGACCACATTGTTTACATGACCTAAGACATCTATATGCTCTGGTTTTACTTCGATTTTTAAATCAAATACTGAACTCATATCTTCTTTCCTTTTCCACTTTTTCAACCATCCGTATAAGTTTGACATAAAAAAGCCACCCTTTGAGTGGCTGATTCTGATCAGTTGTATTTATTGAATACGTAATCCAATCATAGCATGTTGCCCTTCACGAACAATCGCAACACGCGCTACCGTATTTTTCTGTAGCTCAGAAATAGCATCAACAAAATCACTCGTTGGATTTACTTTCTTGTTATTTACTTGTGTGATCACATCACTAGGTAAAATCCGTGACTGTGCAGCCAAGCTATCTCTGGTCACATCATGAATAAATACATAAAGAGCATAACCTATAGAAGTTTATAATACTCATAGAGCATATATGTTCTGAAATATAAAACGCCTGATGATATTCATCAGGCGTTGATGCGAAATAAATTTCAAACTATTTCATGACTACACCGCTTGAGCATAAGTTAAATTGGCAGACTTTCCCAACCACAGATCATTAACACTTTAGCTAAGAAGCTAAAATTGGATGATTAATGTAGATATATACCAAGCATCAAATTATTATAAAAATATAGTGATCAAAAATCATAGCTAATCATCATGTTAAAGCGATTATCTACACCTGTTAAATCATTGAAAGTTTCTCGCTGTCCATAAACATATTCTAATCCAAAATCTATCGACTTGAATGGGCTATAAATCGCATTTGCCCAGCCCTGCCAAAGTTGCTTATTTTGTGTATTATCATCATATTTTAAATTTGCAAACGTGCTACTATCATTGGCTTTCATATAGCCATAACCAATCGTAGAACGTAATTTAGGATTAAACTTATGCGTTATTCCTAACGAGATCGTATCAAACTCATTTTCATGCATCTGATTATTTATATCCAAAGCATAGCCACTATTACTCCAAGCTAAAAACCGGCCATCTCCTTTTACATGATAATAATCAGCCTTCAATATTGTATTAGGAGAGATTAGATATTTTCCCCCCAAACCGATTCCCCAAGCTAACTTTTCATCATTTGCTGTTTTCTTTTCTGCAAGGAAACTACGACCTGAAATTAATGAGCCATTATCAAAATTATGGTTAATACGTCCAACGAACGCAGGTAATCTCATTTCATTGTCAGGATCAGTGGCAGCTGTATATTTAGGGTCTTCGATACTAATAACAAAACTTGTCTGATCCGTAATCTTATCTGTATACCTAAGCACAGGTACTCGCAATAAGGATCCTCCAACATATGAAGCAGGCTCAATAGTTTCAGGTAAATATTCAGGTGCAATAAAATTTGACCATGTCTGACCGACTAACCATTTATCAAATGTCAAATAAGCATGACGTATACGAAATTGATCTCTTGTTGCACCACCAAAAAAATCTGTTTCAATCTTACCTTTTATTTCCCCTACTGGTGTTTCAGTCCTGAAGTTTGCTCCGATACGTGTAGCAGCAGCAGTCGCACGGAATCGATCACGTTGCTTATATTCCTCATGGGTATTTTTTAATGGTACAGCATTGATATTATTATACATTGTCGATGCACCAGTAGCTTGATAGGTTGCATCAGCGCGTATAAATCCATAAATATTGACCTCTGTAGATCTCTTTTTTTCTATCATGGACATCGACGGTGCAGATTGTAACTGCAGACTATTCTCATTTTTTAAGTTTTGAACCTCTTTCTGAAGTGCCATAAGTTCTTTTCTGAGTTCGTTATGTTCATTCTGACTGATATTGGCAAAACTGCTGTTACTCGATACACCAGCCACAATCGCCATAAGTATCATTTTAAATATATTAGTCCCTTGATTTAACCTATCCATCTTTAACATTTCCTTTTGATTATTTAAATTATTGATTCCAAAAAGTCTAAAAACTGCTAAAACTGAGCCAACATTCCATTTGGCTGAGCAATGTGTTTACAGGTGGTAAATATCAATCACTTGGTTGATATAATCGTTTTTAAGCACAACATACTTACTTAAGATTTTGGGTTGTTCAGTTGAAAAGTCGATCACATAACATGACATGCCGAAATAGCTGTAGTTGGTTTTATAGCGGAAACTCAAAGTGTTCCAATTAAAACGTACCGTGACTTCGTCACCATCACGTTCCACAATCTCAATATTGGAAATATTATGGCTGGTACGGGTATCAGGAATGGTCGCAGATGAACGTTCTGTTTTAATCCGAAATACACGATCTTCTAAACCTTGGCGATCCGGATAGTAAATCAACGAAATTTCTGATCGTGGGTCTTCTGTCAGTTGATCATCATCATCCCATGCTGGCATCCAGAAAGAAGCCTCGGGCGCATAGCACTGTAACCATTCATCCCACTGTTCCTCATCTAAATAACGTGCCTCACGATATAAAAACTGGGTCACTTGCTCGAGACTTATATTGTCTAAATTGATTGGGTTATTCATACGGTTTCTCCCAAATCTTGTTGTCCTGCAAGCTCTTTTTCTCTGGCAATCGCACGTTTTATTGAGCTCAACCAATATTGATGTTGTGCAAGGTATAGGCCTTCATCTTCAGTTTTGATGCCACTTAATATAGGTTTTAAACCAATTTCCTGGGCTGCGTCATCTGGACCATAAATCCAGTGCTTAGAGCCACGGCACATATCATTCCATTCGAGTTCAATACCGGCATAACCAGCTTGACACGCACGGAATTCTTCTAAGTCATCAGGTGTTGCCATACCTGATGCATTAAAGAAATCTTCATACTGGCGAATACGGCGGGTACGTGCATCAAGTGCTTCACCTTTTGGTGCAATGCAGTAAATCGTCACTTCAGTTTTATTCACACTTAACGGACGCAATACACGAATCTGTGAACCAAATTGATCCATTAAGTAAACATTTGGATAGAGGCAAAGGTTACGTGAACGCTCAACAATCCATTTAGCCATTGCTCCACCAAACTTGTCGATATACTCCTCATAACGTGCATAGTTCGGGCGATCTTCTGGATTGGCCCATTGTGTCCACAACAACATATGACCATGTTCAAAGCCATAGCAGCCACCGCCCTGCTTACCCCAACCACCGGCACTCATGGCGCGAATATTATCCTGTGCCTGCTTTTCCTTTCGCTGTTGTGTGGTTGCAGCATAGTTCCAGTGAACGGCGGAAACATGATAACCATCGGCACCATTTTCGGCAGTCAGCTTCCAGTTACCTTCATAAGTATAGGTAGATGCACCACGTAAGATTTCTAGACCATCTTCGGACTGATCCACAATCATATCGATGATTTTCGTCGCTTCACCTAAGAACTCTTTAAGTGAAGAAACATCAGGATTCAAACTACCAAACAAAAATCCTTTGTAATTTTCAAAACGCGCAACTTTTTTTAGGTCGTGTGAACCGTCTTTGTTAAAGCCATCTGAGTAACCTGCATCAGAAGGATCTTTAACTTTCAACAATTTTCCTGAATTATTAAATGTCCAACCGTGGAAAGGACAAGTATAGGTGGCCTTATTGCCACGTTTATAACGACAAAGTTGTGCACCACGGTGCGAGCAGGCATTGATCATGGCATTGAGTTCACCAGCACGGTTACGTGCAATGATGATCGGTTGACGACCGATATAGGTGGTGTAGTAGTCATTGTTATTTGGGATCTGGTTTTCATGTGCCAAAAACACCCAGTTACCTTCGAAAATGTATTTCATTTCAAGTTCAAACAACGCTTGATCAGTAAAAACTGAACGATGAAGTTTAAATTCACCCGTATCGACATTGTCTACAAACAACTCATCGATACGATCTAGATGGCTGGTATTTATTATAGGAATACGTGGCATGTCCTTTCTCCAACTTTCCAAATGAGGGAAGCCACCAAGCTGAAATAATGATGTAAATCATGTAGAGCAAATATCTCGGTTCCTATCGATATTGAGTGCCTACATGATGGTGATCAACTTAAGTTGAGAATACAAAGCTGATTGTTTTTATCATTTCAACATTGAGTGCAATATGATCAGTGAATAAAATAAGAAGTGACTCAAAGAAATTAAAAAACTAGATGTTTGACGTTGATAAAATTATTTCTTCCATCATCAAAGCATTGCTTACTTTAAATTCCCTATTGTTAATTTCTCTTAACAAGTCAGTTCTATGACTGATTTGCTAAATTTATTTTTTTATGTATTATTAGTCAAATTGTTATTTTTTCTAATAAATATTAGTGGTATCTATTATGGTGGATTTAAATTTAATTCGGGCTTTTGTCACAATCTACAATACACGTAGCGTGAGTACAGCTGCTGTGCATTTAAATATTACTCAACCATCAGTAAGTCACAATTTATCCAGATTAAGATATTTATTTAAAGATCAGCTATTTATCAGAACAAAAGAAGGTATGATTCCAACAACTTATGCAACTCAGTTGTATGAATCATTGAATCATCATCTTGTTGAGATTGAAGGTGTTGTCAGTGAAGTAAAAAACTTTGATGCCAAGACGAGTGAAAGGTGCTTTAGAATTGCTTTAACAGACATCGGTGGCTTATATTTCCTCCCTATCATTTTGTCACACCTAGAAATCCATGCACCCCACATAACATTGGAAATAACGACTGTCGATATGAATAAATTATCGGATTGGTTAATCACTGGTAAGGTTGATGCGGCAATATGCAATAAAAATTTAGAAGACAAAAGTTTAAATACTTTAACGTTATTTGAAGAAAAATATACTTGTTTAGTCAGTCGAGGGATCGTTCTAGAAGGCAATAAATTTACTTTAGATAATTTCTTAAAAGGCAATCATGCTGTTGTACCCGCATCTACAGGTCATAACCTAGTAGAAAATTATTTAAGTAAACAAGGATTAAGACGAAAAATTAAACTACAAGTTCCTCAGTTCAGTATTTTAGGGGAGCTCATTGCCAAACATAATTTAATTGTCACTGTACCTTCTCGAATAGGTGAATATTTTAAACACAATTCTGATATTCAAATTTTTGATGTGCCTTTTGAATTGCCTTGTTTCGATGTAACTCTACATTGGTATAAAAAGTCAGCTGATACCTCTGCACAAAAATGGTTTATAAATTTTTTAAAAGAGATTTTAACCGATCACAACGAAATGAACTAAAAATAATGACTTGGACGTTGACCGCTTGTATGTTGGTGCGTTGCAATGCCAAATATAACGGACAATGTTTTAGTAATTCTCTGCTTTTTTCAATAATTATTTATTCTTATTTTTCAATTCATTAAAAATTTAATATTTCAGTATAGAAAATAAATATAGATAAAACATATATTGCATAATATGTTTTATTAATTTGATCTATAAAAATAATAAACTATATGATTTATAAAGATCATGAGAAATGATTGATTATAAAATCTTTTCAGGTAGTGGATGCCTGGAGAAAAAGCTATTGAGTTAAAAGGGATTGAAATTCACTACGTTGAATTATAGATAACTTTTGATTCTATCCAAAGGATAGGAAGCGATGCAAAATATTAATGCTGTAGACCTTATTGATAAGGTTCCTCTCAATAAACACCATAAAATTTTAGTCTTTTGGTGTGCTGTTATTATGTTATTTGATGGATATGACCTTGTAATTTATGGCTCTGTTCTCCCCCACTTAATGCTTGAATGGCAACTTTCGCCCCAAACAGCAGGACTTCTCGGTGCGGCATCTTTAATGGGGATGATGCTTGGTGCTGTTACTCTCGGTATGGCGGCTGATAAATTCGGTCGAAAAAATATCATTATTGCTTGTACGATTTTATCGAGTCTCGCCGTCACGATGAATGGCTTTGCACATGATACAACAACATTCTTTATTTGCAGATTACTCACGGGTGTCGGACTAGGTGGTGCAGTCCCCAATTTGGTGACAATTATTAAAGAGATGGCGCCTGGTTCACATCGTAATCGTTTGATTAACTTAGTACTCGCCTTTTATGGTGTTGGCGCCATACTTTCCGGCTTAGCAGGCTTGTTTTTGATTCCAGTTTTTGGATGGCAAGCAACTTTTTGGATTGCTGGCACATGTATTTTCTTGATTCCATTAATGTATAAGACTTTTCCAGAATCCATCAGCTATCTCATTCATAAAAACCGTCAAATAGATGTGATTAGCACACTAAAAAAATTAAATCCTAACCATAAGCATGAAAACAATATGCACTATGTTGTAGACATGACAGCAAATACGCAAAAAATACCTGTTCTTGGTCTATTTACAGAAGGCAAAACTGTCAGAACTCTGCTGATTTGGTCGGGATTTGCCATGGTTATGCTTATGGTATTTGGTCTAAATACTTGGCTACCTAAACTGATGAATGTCGGTGGATATTCTCTCGGCTCTAGTATCACATTTTTAGTAACACTCAACATTGGAGCGATTCTAGGCACTTTAATTTTTGGAATCCTCGCTGATAAATGGGGATCAAAACCCACATTAATTTTTGGTTATTTACTTGCATCAGCTTCGATTAGCTGCCTAGGATTTCACCCTCCTGCATTTGTCCTGAGCATATTGCTAGTGATCGCAGGTGGCGCAACTGTTGGTTCCATGTCTGTTATTCACACTTTAGCTGCGGACTTCTATCCTGCGAATATTCGTTCAACAGGTGTCAGTTTTGCCGCAGCAATGGGCCGATTTGGTGCAATTTCTGGCCCATTATTCGGCGGATTTTTACTCGCAATGAATTTGCCATTTGAGCAAAACTTCATGGTATTTGCACTGCCCGGAATTATAGGCGCAATTGTTATTGCTTTATTTACACATCAGAAGATGTCTCCAGTTCAACTCACGACGAAAGGATAAAGTCATGAATATACAAACAAAAATCATAGAACAAATTTGGAAAGAACATATTTTTCAAGGAACTTGGGTTAAAACCAATAACGCTTCACGTGAAATTATAAATCCAGCAACTGGGGAGATTATTTCATCTGTACAGCTTTCTTCTGTAGATAATGTCAATACTTCAGTTCAAATAGCGATGCAAGCCCAACACATATGGAAAAATACAACATTTGAAACACGTGCCAAGGTCCTGAGAAAGGCCGCACAAATTTTTGAGCAAAATATTCAAACTTTTATTGATTGGAACATTCAAGAGTGTGGATCAACAGCGCTTAAAGCTGGCTGGGAAGCCAATGCCTGTATCGAACAATTATACATGGCTTCATCTATGCCAATGTCTGCATCAGGTGAGGTTTTTCCATCCGCTATCCCCAATAAAACCAATGTATGGTTACGTGTTCCTATCGGTATTGTCGGTGTAATCTCCCCTTGGAACTTTCCTTTATTATTATCTATCCGCTCTATAGCACCAGCTTTAGCAATGGGCAATAGTGTGATATTAAAGCCTTCAGAATTTAGTAATGTTACGGGAGGTTCTCTTTTAGCCTGGCTATTTGAAATGGCAGGTTTGCAATCAGGTGTTTTTCAGGTATTGAATGGCGAAAGTGAAATTGGTGAGACGATAGTGAATCACCCTCAAGTGAATATGATCTCTTTCACAGGTTCAACTGTTGTCGGTAAGAAAATTGCCGTGGATTGTGCTAAACAATTAAAAAAATGTGCGCTTGAACTGGGCGGCAATAATGCGATGATTATTTGTGAAGATGCAGATTTAGAGATCGCTGTAAATAATGCTGTCTGGGGAACTTTTCTACATCAGGGGCAAATTTGTATGCAGACTGGACGTCATTTAGTGCATCGTAGCATTGCGAGTGTCTATATTAAAAAACTGAAAGAAAAAGCATTATCACTAAAAGTTGGCAACCCCTCCTCGCCTGATACACAATTAGGTCCACTTATTAATCAGGCTCAGCATGTAAAAGTGAGCCGTATGGTTGAGGATGCGGTAAGTCAAGGTGCTATATTGGAATGTGGTGGTAAAGGTGAACAACTGTTTTTCCATCCAACTATTTTAACGAATATCGATAAAAATGATCCGATTTTTACCGATGAGATATTTGGTCCAGTAGCACCGATCATTATTTTTGATGACATCAAAGAAGCGGTTGATATTGTCAATTCATCGAAATATGGTCTTGCTGTGGCAATTCATAGTAAACACACTGCTTGGGCCTATGAGTTAGCCAAAGAAATTAAAAGTGGCATGATTCATATCAATGATCAGACAGTAAATAATGAATATCACGTACCTTTTGGTGGAATGGGTGAGTCAGGTTATGGTGGCCGCTTTGGTGGTCCTGCTAACTTTGATGAGTTCAGTCAACGTCAATGGATCAGTATTTTAGACAAAGGGATTCAATATCCGCTCTAAATGATGAGTGATCTGATGGACTCAGGTTGAAAGTAAAATATTTTTACTTTCAACCTTTTGCATAAAGGTTTCATCTTAATTAAAAACCTAATAATTCTGAGTTTTACGTATAATCTTGATAACGTTAAAATTCGTTTTTTTATACTTTGATAGCAGATCAAAGGCGCTGGCACTGTAGAACTGTTTGCCATATCAAATAGATCATTTTAAACTATTTCTTTATCTACTTATTATGCTATATCCATCGCTTGTTATTGTAATAAAAGCAAAAACTGAATCATTTTGGTCCAATTTTTCAACTTACTGTATTAAACTCAAACTGACCTCAACTAAAGAAATTCCTCATTGATGGATTTTGCGATATTGAACAGGTATATCTATTTTTTTTGTTCCGTGACCTGCTCTTTTTATCTTATGAGTATTTTATATAAATAAACTAACTCAAAATATCAGAGTTGTATTGAAGATAACTCATGCCCAACCGCTTTACAGATGGGCAACCTATTTGTGCTAATGTGCGGTCAACATCCTGCTTCATCAGTTGGATTACTTCATCAACACCAACTTCACCTTTAGATGCTAAACCATAGAGTGTGGGGCGACCTAAACACACCATATCAGCGCCTAAACACAATGCTTTGACAATATCTGAACCCCGCCTAAAACCACTATCAATTAAGATCGGTTGTTGAATACATCTAGAAACTTCTTGCAAGGTTTCCATAGGAGACACACTACAATCAAGTTGACGTCCACCATGATTAGATAAAATTACCCCATCAACTCCACACTGAATAGCAATTTGAGCATCTTCAGCGCTAATTATACCTTTTACCAATAATTGATGAGGCCAAATCTCACGGATACGTTTTAAGCTTTCTTGATTGAAACTGGCATCCATTTGGCGCTTCATAATTGCGACTTGAATGTCTAGACTATCTGTCTTAGAGCTTACAAAATTTGCTAACTGTGGCTTGCTATTGGCTAAAAAACGTAACGACCATGCCGGATGTAACATACCATCTAGCACTAAGCTTGCAGAAAATTTTAATGGTAATCCAAACTGATTACGCAGGTCACGTTCTCTATAACCGTTTACACCAACATCCAAGGTCACAATCAAAGTTGTATAACCCGAGTCTAAAGCACGTTGCACCATTTGCTTGGCTAGTTCTTGATGTACAACATAAAGCTGAAACCATTTTTCACCATCACTAGATCTGGCGACTTCCTCAATCGACATATTCGAAGCTGTCGATAACATAAATGGTATATTGGCTTTAGCAGCACTTTTTGCAAGTAACGCATCCCCTTTAGGCCAAAATGAACCATTTAATCCAGTAGGTGCTATCGCAAAGGGCGCACTCCAAAGACGATTGAACAACTGACAGGAAATGTCTCGTTCACTAATATCGACCAAACGCTGCGGCTTAAACCGCCATTGATCAAATACCTGTCGATTGTGATGTAAGCCTTTTTCATCATCTGCCCCACCTTCCAGATAATCATAAATCACTTTGGGTAAAGTCGATTTTGCAAGTTTTTGGTAGTCTTCCACATTGATCATTTTATAAGGCATAAGAGCGTTCCTGTTCAGCCTATTACAATTAAAAATTTCAAATTTTGGCCTAGTTTAATGCCAATGTTTATATTTGCTTGTCTTGCCAATACCAGGATTAAAACTATTGGTTGGATCTAATTCTTTAAGATGAATCTGATAATCGAGAGAAGCTTTATACAAATGGCCGACATTATGCTCAGCGGGGTATTTGGCTCCACGCTGTTCTAAGTATGCAAGTACGTCATGCTTAAATTGGATCGCATCAACATTTTCCTTAAGTAAGTAATCCTGATGTGAAACAAAACAGAAAAAATGACCACAACAGCTCTCCATCATGACTTGTTGTTTTAAATAGTCTGGTAAATCTATTGACCAACAATCATCATTCCGTCGAAAAGCAACATCAAAAGAAACTAAGCGTTGATTTGGATCAATTCCCGTACTTTCGCAGTAATAAACCACACAACCACCTACAGCAAAACGGATAAGAAAAGCATTTTTTTCTTCAGCTTTAGTGCATTGGAAAAATTGATCTTTAGAGCCATTAAAAAAATGATTCAATAGCTCTCGTAATTCATCACTTTGCTGTTGATCAACTTTAATCATTAAATGATGTTCATACTGTTGATTGGATGCTTGCAAACGCGGTTCGATCCATGAAGGGGTTAAACGATTAAATAGTTGAATCAAACGATCTGTAAAATTATTGGGAAAAAGAGGGAATTTTCTAAAAAATTGATCTATGTGCGCTTTAAATTTAAATAAGGCTGGAATCTTTTCAGCGCCCCAAATATCAATCGCCTTATACATATGTTTTGCATAACGTTGTGTTAAATCAAATGCATGCCGATGGATATACTCAGCCTGACTCGGTAAAGTCGTCATTTCTGTTAATAGATACCGTCTTAAATCTATTAATTCGGTCTCATTATTACTACTAATAAAGTATGTGGTTGCCTCTTCTGCTGCTTCAAAAGTTGGAAGTCTGACTGCAAAAACGACTAGTTTCCCTGAACAGCCCGAGCTTTCATGTAAATACTCAGGATTTCCATTGTAGCGAGTCGCTGTTGGGGAAGTTATATCTCGTAGTGTCTTGGCATAATTTTCAGCCCAAATTTTTCCATGCACTAAGTTAACTTTTTGTAGATCATAGTTTTTTTGTTCTAGATTTCTTAGAATTTCTTCTGGATCTTCCCCCAAGTAAATGCCCAGATGGTTAATGAGTTTTAACTTTCCACTTCCATCAACCTGAGCAAATAAAGATTTTTCAGTATACGCTGGGCCTCGACGAATTAATGAACCTCCTGAGTTATTACAAATTCCACCAATTACAGACGCTCCGATACAAGATGAACCAATGACTGAATGGGGCTCGCGTTGATGAGGTTTCAGCGCATTTTCCAATTCTGTAAGTGTTGTCCCTGGAAACGCAATAACTTGTTTGGCATCATCCAATAACTGCATACCTTTGAGTTTCATTGTACTTACAACAATAACTTCTCGGTCATAATCATTAGAATGTGGTGTAGAACCACCAGTTACACCTGTATTAGATGCTTGCAAAATTATGATTAAATTATGTTTGACTCCAAATTCAATAACTTGCCATAGCTGGAATAAACTATAAGGAATAACCACAGCAAGTGCATCACCCTTGCCAACACGAAAACCTTTTAAATAAAAGCTTTTATCAACATCTTCAATAAGTATCTGCTGTGGATTAAATAATTGATGCAATTCTTTAATAATAAAATTAGTCTGCATAAAAGTTTTTCCGTGCTTAAGTATTGATAATGATTAATTACTTAACTCAGCTGTCACGACTTCAATCAAAGTCGGTTGCTCTGAATCGACTGCTTTGTTAAAAGCGGAAATAAAATCACTGTCATTCGTTACACTACACGCATCTACACCATAGCCTTTGGCAATGTGTGTAAAATCAATATCTGGGACATCCATACCAGGAACATGTTCAGCATTTAAAACCCCTGCAAACCACCGCAGTGCACCATACGTTCCATTTTTTAAGATAATAAAGATCACTGGAATTTTATACTGAGCAGCAGTCCATAATGCTGTAATACTATAATTTGCTGAACCATCTCCAATCAGTGCTACTACTCTACGAGTTTTATGTGCCAACTGAACTCCGATCGCAGCAGGCATAGCAAAACCAAGGCCACCCGCAGCTGCGAAATAATAACTTCCTTGTTCAGTAAGGCTTAAACGATCCCATAATGCATTGGTTGTTGAAGTAGATTCATTTGTATAAATCGTGCCGTCTGGCGCGAGAATATTAAGCATATCAAACAGCCTTTCTGGCTTTATATAGCCATTTTCACTTGGCTGAGACAGTTCTATTGTATGACGGTGAACTACCGTATCAGTTTTTGCATGAACTTTCTGACTTAATCGTGTCAGGCTATCGCCTAAATCACTCACATAGCATAAACCCATTGCGGCCCGAGCTGCTTCTTGAATATCACAAGTGAATGCAATGAGTTCTGTATGTTCAGATAGATATTGACCAGGTTCATACTGGTGATAACGAAATACAGGTGCACCAAATACTAAAACCAAATCATATTCTTTAAATATTTGGGAAATACCCGCAATACTTGCTGGTAGAATCCCCTGAAAATAGGCATGCGTTGTTGGAAATGGGCATCTTGGTGAAGATGGCGCAACCCAAACAGGAACGTTTAATGCTTCTGCGAAACGGATTGCACTAAGATTGGCAAATTGTCGATCTACATCCGTACCTAGAACTAAAGCGACTTTTTGAGCTGAATTTATTTTATGACTTATAAATAATAAATCTTGCTCTGATAAACACTGTGAACTGGTGACGTTCTTTTTAAGCAAATGTTCATTTTCTCCATCTACTTCAATATCCCAATCATTATAAGGTATGGAAACATATACCGGCCCGGCAGCCTCTGCACCAGCAATATGTATTGCTCGACTAATCGCGTGTGGTACTTCATTTGCAATTGCTGGTTCATGACTCCATTTAACTAAAGGTTTTGGTAATTGAGCAGCTTCAATATTTGTTAATAGCGCTTCAACACCCATCATCGTTCGCGTTTGTTGGCCTGCTGTAATTACCAAAGGTGTATGAGAATTCCATGCATTACTCAATGCCCCCATCGCATTTCCTGTACCAGCAGCAGAATGCAAATTAACAAACGCCGTTTGTCCCGTTGCTTGAGCATACCCATCGGCAATTCCAACGACCGCGCCTTCATGTAAACCCAGAATATATTGAAAGTCAGCAGGAAAGTTTTTTAGAAAAGGCAGTTCATTCGAACCAGGATTACCAAAAATCATTTTAATATTATTTTTTCTCAATATTTCATAGGTATATTGATGAACAGTTTTCACGTATGCCCTTCCTTAACATTCAATTAATTTTTCTAATGATAATACGCAACAAAATATAGATAAAATAAATAATAAATATTATCGATTATAGATACAAACTATATAAAATTATAAATATTTGATTAAAAACATTTTTATATATAAAAAATTGAATCAAAGTATATCTATACCATCAAATCTGAAGTTAAAACTATGGACGAGGAATACATCTTATGCTTTAGATTTATTGAATACTAAAAAATGAAATATTTTGACTTTGAGGTTTTTATATCGGATTGATTCAAAAGCTATTCTTAAAATATTTGCAAAATAAACTTGATCATATAAAAAAGCCACTCTTTGAGTGGCTGATTCTGATCAGTTGGATTTATTGAATACGTAATCCAATCATAGCATGTTGCCCTTCACGAACAATCGCTACACGCGCTACCGTATTTTTCTGTAGCTCTGAAATAGCATCAACAAAATCATTTGGTGTATTTACTTTCTTGTTATTTACTTGAGTAATCACATCACCAGGTAAAATCCGTGACTGTGCAGCTAAGCCGCCTCTGGTCACATCTTGAATAAACACACCACCTTTAACATTTAAACGATTCTTTTCTTGTTCAGTTAAGGCACGAATCGCAACACCAATGATAGGCCCTTTATTTGGCTTGGCCGAAGTGTTGGTATTGTCAACTTTTGCAGGGGTATCATCTGGTGCAACAGTTAAAGTTGCTGTAATCACTCTTGGTTTATCATCACGTAAAACTTCAAGCTTAACAGATTGATTTGGTTGAGTACGATTCAAATAATTCAATAATTCTGAAGTACGTGATATTGGTGAACCATTATATTTTAGGATCACATCGCCTGATTTAAAGCCCGCTTTTTCTGCAGGTGAATTCGGCGCAACTTGGGTAATCAACGAACCTTCTGGTTTATCTAACTTATAAGCTTCCGCTAAGTTTCGATCGATATCTTGTAACATTACACCAAGATAAGAACGAGTGACCTTACCATTCTTTTTCAACTGATCAACAACGTCCATTGCCACATCAATTGGAATAGAGAATGACAGGCCCATATAACCACCCGTACCACTAAAGATACGAGAGTTTACACCGACAACCTGACCTTGTTGGTTAAATAGCGGACCACCTGAGTTACCCGGATTTAACGCCACATCGGTTTGGATAAATGGGACAGAGGTTTCACCCATCATATTACGTGACTTGGCACTGACAATCCCTGCTGATGCAGAATAATCAAAACCAAATGGAGAACCGATTGCTAGAACAGGCTGCCCGACTTTAAGTTGATCTACATTACCCACAGATAATGATGGGAAATTATTCCCCTCAACTTTCAATAAAGCCACATCTGTACGTTCATCACTGCCCACCACTTTTGCATCAATTTCACGGCGATCATTCAACATAATCGTCACTTTAGATGCATCTTCAACCACATGGTGATTTGTCAGTAAATAACCATCTTTACTAATAAAAAATGCACTACCATACGCAGTCTTTTCTTGTGGCGCGCGTTGTTGTGGAATAATGATTTGATTACCAAAGAAACGCTTTAGAATTTCAGGTACTTGTTGCTGTAACAACTCTTCCTGAGATAACTTTTTAACAACATTAACACTTACAACAGCTGGGCTAACTTGTTCAACCAAGTTAGAAAAATCCACAGGTGTTGAAGCTTGAACTTGTGATGTTGCCGCAGCGACAGTAAATACTGCTGCATACATTCCTTTTTGTATTAGACCATTACTCATTTCTCATGAACCTGCATCTGATGATTATTTGCTTAAAAATGTTTGTAACATATTATTTAATATCGTTACGTAAAAATATGTTTACATTTTTTTATAAAACAAGACTTTACTTAATTTTATATTAAAAGTCTTGGAATATCTTATTTATACTAAAATCTGACACATGTGACTATTGTAATTTGTTAAAAAAAAGAGTGTTATTAGCAAACATTTTTCAAATTAGCTGATGGACATGTCTAATTTAAGTACAACTCATCAATTTGACGTGGTTATTGTGGGGAGTGGCGGTGCAGGCTTAAGTTTAGCCTTATCTTTGCCTGAACATTTTAATATTGCTGTTTTAGCGAAATCAACCTTAACCGATGCAAGCACATATTTTGCACAAGGTGGTGTTGCTGCTGTACTTGATGAAACAGATTCCATTCAACAGCATATTGATGACACTATGATTGCAGGCGCACAGTTATGTGAGATTGATGCCGTCAAACATACCGTTGAAGGTGGTCGACCTTCTGTCGATTTCTTACTCAACCATGGTGTGCAGTTTACATTAGATGAAGATGAACAATTACATCTGACCCGTGAAGGTGGACATTCACAACGTCGCATTATTCATTCAGCCGATGCCACAGGTAAAGCCATTTCGACCACACTGGTTCAACGTGCTCAAGAAAAGAAAAATATTCATATTTTTGAAAATTACATTGCGATTGATTTAATCACCACACATAAATTAGGACATAAACAACAGTCCAATCGTGCGGTGGGTCTTTACGCACTTGATGAAAACAACGAAAAAGTTCATACCTTTTTAGCGCCATTCACTGCCCTTGCTTGTGGTGGTGCCATGAAAGCTTATTTATATACATCAAATCCAGATATTGCCACAGGCGATGGTATTGCCATGGCATATCGCGCAGGCTGTCGTGTCGCAAATATGGAATTTAATCAATTCCATCCAACCTGTTTATATCATCCTCAAGCACGCTCATTTCTGATTACGGAAGCAATGCGTGGTGAAGGTGCGTATTTACGTTTACCTGACGGTGAACGCTTTATGCTGCGCTTTGATGAACGTGCCGAACTTGCTCCACGAGATATTGTTGCACGCGCCATTGATTATGAAATTAAACGCTTAGGCATCCGTCATGTCTGGTTAGACATCAGTCATAAACCGGCTGAATTTGTTAAAGAACATTTCCCGACCTTATATGCGCGCTTATTAGAACTCGGTATTGATATCACCAAGGATATGATCCCCGTTGTTCCAGCAGCACACTATACTTGCGGCGGCGTGGTGGTTGATGAGCATAGCCAAACTGATTTAGCTGGTTTATATGCAATTGGTGAAACGTCGTATACAGGGTTACATGGGGCTAACCGTATGGCCAGCAATTCACTACTTGAATGCTTTGTATATGGTATGAGTGCTGCCAAGGATATAGAAGCAAAGTTTAATCCTCACTTTGATATACCGACCGTGCCTGAATGGGATGCTTCACAATCGACCAATCCTGATGAAGATGTTGTGATTCTGCAAAACTGGGATGAGCTCCGCCAAACCATGTGGAACTATGTCGGGATTGTAAGAACCACAAAACGTTTACAACGAGCATTGCATCGTATTGAAATGTTGAAGAAAGAAATTACTGAATATTATCAGGATTATCATGTCAGTAAGAACTTGATTGAACTACGTAATTTGGTCATGGTTTCAGAGATGATTGTTCGTTGTGCCATGCAGCGTAAAGAATCACGAGGTCTACACTACACGCTTGATTATCCTGAGCTTTCACCTGAGTTAAGAAAAACGGTATTAACACCGCCAAACTTTACAGTTGAAACCCCATTGGTAAATGAAGCAGTTTAAAATCCTTTGAAATCACAAAAAATAGTCAGATCATTCTGGCTATTTTTTATGGAGATATTATCAATTTTTACTTTTAGCTTTAGAGGTTTCAAAATTTTATATGCATCAGCATAATTCACTGAATATAAATCAACGCTTTTTTTATTATTTGATCATGTTTCATCAATTACTAAAAATGGATTTTTTCATTCTGAGTAAAACAAAACACTTGAGCAAGAACAAAGCACTGCTTTGTTTGTAGCGCAAGGATGTGGTAGCACAAGGTGAGGTATCGTCTACGCAAATCAATTTAAACTCTTCAAGCTAAAATGTGACAGTGCAAATCTTTTAATGATTCATAAAGTTATAAATTCATTTTGATAAAATGCTAAAACTACTTCTATTTGAAAATAAAAAGTTATTTTTGCTGCATATAATTTCGAGGAGAAAGCTGCATTATTTTCTTAAACATTACAATAAATGAGCTATCACTATCATAGCCTAATTTCATTGCAACCTGATGCACTGAATCTCCTTCTGTTAACCACTGTAATGCCAATACAACATGTAACTTTCTTCGCCATTGATTAATACTCATCCCTGTCGTTTGATGAAAAGTTCGTGTAAGGCTTCGTTCACTCATACAACATAACTTTGCCCATTCAGCCAAACTTTGATTCTGCTCAGGATGCTTTAATAAATGGCGGGTCAATTTAACTAAACGAAGATCTTGTGGAATGGGTAAATAAAATGTTGGCTTTACAACTGATTGAATTTCATCCAACAGGCATTGCTGCAAACGGAAGTCTTTTTCTGAAAGCACCGTATCAGACAAGGTTTCAACTCTTTCCAATAAGGCATTCAGCAAATTTGTCACTTGCAACATGGTGCAATTCGGTTCTAAAAGACGATCAAGTTGGGAATCAATGAATGCAACATAACCACAAGAGACACCATAACTACTGACTTTATGTGGCACATTTGACGGAATCCATAAAGCATGTTGCGCTGGAACAACCCAAATACCAGACGGTGTTTCCACCGTAATTAAGCCATTCACTGTCATCATCAATTGGCTTTTTACATGCTGATGTGACGCAAGCTCCCAATCAGGAACTTGCTGATGTATTTTTAATACAATAATTGCTTGGTCTATTTGATCTACAAAAAAAGGATCCACATTATCAAGCATGGTTTACCTATACATTTATCACTTTAAAACAGCGTCGATGACTTTCTGCGCTTGTTGTTGATTGTCTACAATAAACATCGGGTAACCAGTAAACTTAATAAAGTTATTGGCAAATTTTTGCGTCTCTAGTCGAATATTTTCATCAGGTTCAATATGAATCAACGCTTTCACATATTGCGTTAAAATTTCACGTTTTGCTTTAACCCATGCTGCAACTTGCTTGCGTTCTTCATGATCATTTTTTTGTTCAGGAAAGGCCCCTTCACTGATAAAAACAAAAGTTTCTTTGCGACTCAATAATGATTCATAAATTGCAATTGTTTCATCAACTGAAACTGCATCTTCAGCTTGATAACTAATACGAACGATTGGAAAGTTTTCTAAATTTTGAATAAACATGATAACCGCCATAAATGAGAATAATTATCATTGTATTGATTTATACAGATCGTACATTACTAAATTCAGCCAAAAAATACGGTATTCCAGCCAAATTTAACAGCGAGTTTAGTCTTTATTTTTTCCATAATAAATACGATGCGCTATATGAAAAGTTTCAGCATGTAATTTTGCTAAATCATCTAAGTTCTGATAGCCCCCTGCAAGTACAAACATGATCGGAATATTGTCACGTTTGGCAAGGTTAAACACTATTTCCTCTCTTTTTTGAATCAACTCTGTCGTAAACCATGCCGAACCATAAGGATCTGCTTGATGGCAATCCATCCCCGCTTGATAAATAATAATATCGGCTTTCCACTCATTCGCTCGCTGAAACGCTTCATGCAATGCCATAGTATATTGAGCAAAACTTCCATGCTTGGTATGAATGTGGCGGCTTTCCGCACGTTCATACGTGGGGTAGCCAAAAGCCAAACCGTAAATACTAAAATTATATAAATTATCTAATCTGCGGGTAAAATCAGCTGTCCCATCACCACCATGCTGATCGCAATCCAAAATAAAGATACGTTTATTTGCATAATGTTGTGCAATTAATGCCAAGCCATTAAAAGTGCAATAAGAGCCACCATATTCATAATTGGCGTGGTGAAACCCTTGCGCAATATTGGCGGCAATCCCATGTTGGAATGCCAGTTCAGTTGCCAACAATTGCCCAGCATTGATGGAGAGCACTGCATCTCTTAATTGTTCATTCCAAGGCTTAAAACCAGCAAAAGTTGCCAGTTTTGCGGGTTGCCCTGTTAAAAAAGCCTCGACATATTTAGGTGAATGTAAGGCTTTTAAAATTTCTGGATCAATTTGTTGTGGTTCATGAAATTTATAATCATTAAATTGCTGTAGTTGCTCTGCGACTGCAACAAGTTTTTCCATGCTATTGGTATGTGTTTGAGCAAAATAGCGTGGAGAAAAACAAACATTTAACATAAAGCTATCCGAGACTGAGTGCTCTCAATTGTGATTTTGCAACATCATTGAGTTGTTTTATAAGTGTTGTGTCAGGACTAAAAAGTCCATTATTCACTTGTTGTTCAAAATGTGTCGTAAATGCCCTTTGTCGATTCTCAGGTGAAATGGCTAAAGTGGTTAATCGCAAAAACCAAAAACCTTGAATCTCTTTATAGGGAATAATATAGCCTTTAAACTCTTGATTGGGGACTTTGTTGGTAATTTGTTCAATATCATAATCGACAGAAAATAAAGAACCAATCGGAATACGAATTCCATTCATCAATAAAGGTTGTAAATTTATACAGGAATGATTATCCCCCATGTTCATTTTTTCAATCAACAGAGGACGATTTTGATCATCTACAAAAATATTGATTGAGCCTTGTCTTAACATCGAACGATGGGCAATCTTTAAGAAAAATGCTTCTGCCATTGGACATGAACCCACTTTAGGCTTACCGTCTAGTGTCGCAATTTCAACATAACCTGTTTCATCTGCTGTTTTGGGTAAAATCACATCTTCCAACATAGCGCAAATCACATGACTTTCTTCTAATTGTGCTTGTTGCGATAAGCGTCTTAAGTTTGCTTGGATTGCAACTTCTTGTTCAACTAAGGCTTTAAACTCATCATCTTTGGCTTGAATAAGAAAATTTTGAATCGATTTATTTTGATCTAAGTTATGCCAATCATCGATATCTAAACCATAAGCATTTTTTTGCTCAAGAATTTTTTTTAATTTCTTAAAATCATAATCTTTAAATATTTTTAAATCAGTTGCTTCAACTTGATCACGCGGAAAATTAATGTACTCAGCCAATACGCGTGTAGCCTGCGTATAACCGCAACCACGGCGTTCAGTTTGATGTGAATAGTGTTCATTCAACATCTCCGTCAATTTATCTGATAAAGGAAAAACCTGTTCCTTAAACAAATCTACGACTTCATGACCTGATGACATATTCTTTATTCCATTTAATCTATATTAATTTTCAAAATAAACTATTTATTATGAATAAATTAGCATTATCCCTTGCAGAACTCAATATATCACTCAAGTTGTAATTGCATCTATATCAATCAATACAATTGATTATTTATTATTGTTTTTGATATTCATGATTCCATGCCCATACATGATCTAAGTATCCATTAAAGATCTTTCATAAATCAAAAAATGACCATGTTGAGTGAATCAGATTGGTATTGAAAGTCCCTTCTCCCTTTGGGAGAAGGCTAGGATGAGGGGGATTTTATGATGATCTATGGCTTTAAAAAGGACTAACGTAAGAAGTCTATTGTTAATGACGCTATAACCAAGAATATAGCTTGATAATCAAAACAATTTAACCATCACTAAAAATAGTGATTATTAAAACACCATCAGGAAATACAGCAGGGATTAAAAAAATTCACCCAATACGCATTTTTAAAATCCCTAAATGCTTTATTTTTGTGGTGGAACAGAATAAGTTCCTGTCACATGTGCAACAGGATCATCCGAACCTAAAGAATAAATCCAGACCTCACCTACAATTAAAGCTTTACCCACTTTCATCAATTTACATACGCCACGAATATCAACACCACCCGTTGGCTTGCGTAAAAAATTAATATTCATATTGGTCGTAACCGTCAAACCAACTAAACCAATTTCACCCATAATCGCAACATAGAGTGCAAAATCGGCCAAGGCCATCATGGTTGGACCTGAAACAGTTCCACCTGGTCGTATATCTTGATCACTGACATGCCAAACCAAAGAAGCCCCTTTTTCGGTTACTTCTTCAATTTCACAACGTTGTAAGCTAGGTGAAAAAAATTGCTGTAAGAATTCTACGATTTCAGCTTTCGAGCTTTTCATAATTAAAGTCTTTATATCCTTGACCTAAAACAATATAAAGACTTTTTCGGTCCAAAACACTAGGGGCTGTTGACAATTCGTCTATGTTTGCGACTATAAGTGTTTTTTAGGCAATACTAGGCACGAAATACGAAATTTAGTCATTCTAAATAATGAGAAACATCGTTTCGCAAGGTAACATGTAGCAGCAAAAAACACTCTAGTCCCCCGCTGCGCCTTGCGCTGCAAACAAAGCAGTGCTTTGTTCTTGCTCAGGGTTGTGACTAAAATTATCTCAGTCTACGTTATGAAACTCGAAAATAGTCTCGCTATTCTCTTCCTTTCATGCCTTGCCTGCTCAATTTTAGTCTACAACGCAAGCCATTTATGAAATGCCAACAGCCCCTTTATCGTTCAAATCAACAGAATAAATTGCTCAATTTCACTTATGTAGAGGATTGATTGGTATTTATTTTAAGTAGTTCAACGCCTCAGCAAATACTTGCTCTGGTGCTTGAGTCGCATCTAAACGTTTCATTCGTTGAGAATCACGCAAATGAATTTCAGAAAAACCACTGCGTACCGATTCAAAAAACACCACTTTTTCTTGTTCAAAGCGATCTAAGGCACCACGTGCACGTGCACGGTTCATTCCCAATTCAATTGGCGCATCCAACCAAAAAGTAATATCTGGCATTTTAGAGACAAAATTTTCATTGAGCAGTTGTAACTTCTCTCGACTTAACCCGCGACCTGCACATTGATAAGCAAAACTTGAATCGACAAAACGGTCACACAGTACAATCTTGCCCTCTGCCAAGGCAGGTAAAATCACAGCTGCCAAATGTTGTGCTCGTGCTGCATACATCAGCAATAACTCAGTGTCATTACTCATCTGTTCTTCATGATTAACAGACAGCAATAATGAACGGATTTGTTCAGCTAAAGGCGTACCACCAGGCTCACGTGTTAAAACAACCTGTTGACCTTGTTGTTGAAAGTAATCAAATAACTTTTGAATGAGCGTGGTTTTTCCTACACCTTCAGTACCTTCAAAACTTATAAACATGCTCATTCCTTAATTCTTAGACCGCATAACTTGAATATATTCTTGCACTGCACGATTATGATCATTCAGATTGGCTGTAAATTTGTGCCCACCATTACCTGTGGCAACAAAGTAAATGTTTTCAGAGTTATCTGGATGCATTGTTGCTTCAATGGCTTTTTTACTGGGTAAAGCAATCGGTGTTGGCGGTAAACCATTGATCGTATATGTATTATAAGCAGTCGGAGTACGTAAATCCTGCTTTGAAATCTTACCCGTATATTTATCACCCATCCCATAAATCACGGTAGGATCGGTTTGTAAACGCATGCCCAGTTTTAAACGACGATAGAACACACCTGAAACTTGACGTAACTCGCTGTCTACACTGGTTTCTTTTTCAATAATCGATGCCATGATTAAGGCTTCATATTTATTTTTATAAGGTAAATCTGGCGCGCGTTTTTCCCAAGCTTCATCTAAAATTTTCATTTGACGTTGGTACAGGTCAGTCAAGATTTGCTTATCCGTTGCACCTTTATCAAAGAAATAAGTATCAGGTGCAAATAAACCTTCTGGGTGATCATAAGGAATATTTAAGGCTTTCAGCATTTCACCACTCGGAAGCTGAATCACCGATTTTTCAACCAATGGATCTTTTTTTAATGACTGAATTAATTGCTTCGTTGTCGTCCCTTCTATCACCAAAAGTCGACTCATCTGGGCATTTTCAATATTAGAAACCATTTCTAATACTTGGCGTACATTCATACCTTTAGTGACTTCATACACACCAGCTTTCATGGTGTCATGAATGAAAATTTTCCGATAAAGCTTAAGAATGATTGGAAAACTGACCTTATCTTCTTTGGCCAATTGATCAATAAAACCGGTATAGGTTTCACCATTTGAAATAGACAGCTTTTGTTTTTGACCCGTCACTGGATACGCTTTAAAAATACTCATTTTTAAAATGATTGCAGTCATGATCAAAAAAACAACCAGAACGATCGCAATGCCTTTATAGATGTTATTGCTCACTTGGGCTTGAGTTTTCTTTTTAGATTTTGGCTTAGGTTTGGTTTTAGGCATGAGAATTAAACTGACTTAAATTTAAAATATTAAATAACTCAACACAGGATTGAGTGTCTAGATGTTGATGATTCAACGTTTCGACCACTTTCATTGGACTGAGGGCATTGCAAAAGAACAGGCTTTGAAAATGTCGAATTTCATCCATATCGATAAAACGCTGTTCACAGGTGACACCATAATGTTGCATCCGTGACAAAATTTCGGCACGCATCACACCATGTACACCATTATAACGAAGTTCAGGCGTAATCCATCTATTGTTTATCCGAATAAAACAATTACTGCTCACACCTTCAACAACTGAACCTTGTACATCTGTGACTAATGCTTCTAACCAACCTTTTGCCTGAGCTTCTTTTTTCAGCAACACTTGTTCTAAACGGTTTAAGGTTTTTAAACCCACTAAATTCGGCATCAATAAGCCAATCGCTTGATCTAATACACCACTGTGAATTAATTCAGGCTGAAAGCATGCAGTTGTTTTTGGATAATAAACCACATAAAGATCGGCCTCATGCTCAGGCATCGCATAACCACGATCACCATCACCCCGACTAATGATGACCTTCAATGTGCCATTTAATATTCCATTTTTTTGTCTTAAACATTGTAGCGTCTGATCCAATAACTCAAAATTCACATCTAAAAATAAACGTTCAGCCGCCAACTTCAATCGAGCACGATGTAAAAGTTCCAACTCCATAACATCTTGATGTAATCGTACTGTGGTAAAACAACCATCTCCATAATGAAATGCTCGATCTAAAAGTGAAATAGAATCAACAAATTGAGCATTTTTAAAACAGATCATTAAGCAATTTCCTATGGCTTTGCACGAATACTATAAGCAATATAAGCATTTTCTTTTTCTCTTTTATTCATATAAAATTCGTTTTTTATTATTTTTTATGGATAAAGACTAGCGTTATGCTCACTCCATCTTACCGAACTTCAGAATTAAATGGGGCAAAAAAATGCAGTTCTCTAAACTTAAATTCGCTGTGGCAGCAGTACTGATCTCAACCACATCTTTCAGCGTTGCTGCAAAAGATTTTTTAAATGTATCTTATGATCCAACACGAGAATTGTACGATAATTTTAACAAACAATTTGCAACGTTTTGGAAATCTAAAACTGGTCAAGACATCCAGTTTAAACAATCACATGGTGGCTCTGGTAAACAAGCGCGTGCGGTTATTGATGGTTTGCAAGCAGATGTTGTGACTTTAGCATTGGCCGCAGATATCGATGCGATTGCACAAAATACAAATTTATTGCCAAAAGACTGGCAGAAGAAATTCCCACAAAACTCTACACCGTACACATCAACAATCGTTTTCCTCGTCCGTAAAGGTAACCCGAAAGGCATCAAAGACTGGGGCGATTTGGTAAAACCAGGTGTAGAAATTGTAACACCAAACCCTAAAACTTCAGGTGGAGCACGCTGGAACTATTTAGCAGCATGGGCTTGGGCAAAACATAAATATGGTTCAGACGCAAAAGCACAAGAGTTTGTACGTCAAATTTATAAACAAACTAAAGTACTCGATTCTGGTGCACGTGGTTCTACGACGACATTTGCAGAACGCGGCATTGGTGATGTGTTATTGGCTTGGGAAAATGAAGCGTATTTATCTACACGTGAACAACCAGGTAAATTTGAAATCATTACCCCATCACTATCGATCTTGGCAGAACCACCTGTCGCAATTGTTGAAAAGAATGCTGAAAAAGACGGTAACTTAAACTTAGCAAAAGCATATTTAAATTATCTGTATTCACCTGCTGGTCAAGACATTGCAGCGAAAAACTTCTACCGTCCGCGTAATGCAGCAATTTTGCAAAAGTATTCGACAACATTCAAACCGTTAAAATTGGTCACAATTGATAAAGAGTTTGGTGGTTGGACTAAAGTTCAAAAGCAACATTTTGAAAATAATGGTGTTTTTGATCAAATCGTAAAAGCCAATGCAAGCAGCAAATAACTGTTTAAAATAAACTTAAGCGAAAGGAAACAGGAGCATAGACATGATTCATACAATTATTGTTCCAGGCGTTGGTGGTAGTGATTACGATCACTGGCAATCTAAATTACAACGTGAACTCATGTCTTGCTCGCGCGTACAACAACAGGATTGGAACTTACCTATTCTTAAAGACTGGATTGCCCAATTTGTTGCGACTGTCGTCAATGCTACGCAACCTGTTCAAATTGTTGCACATAGTTTCGGATGTTTAACCACGGTTGCTGCTTTGGCTCAGCATCCTGAAATTGTAGCTAAAGTAAGAAAAATTATTTTAGTTGCACCAGCTAATCCAGCACGTTTTGGTGAGGCTGGTTTTGCTCGAAACAGTATCGGTGACTATGAAGCTTATTTTCATGAGTTGAAAATTACGGTCCCTGCTGAAATGATTATTTCTGAAAATGATCCTTGGTTAAATTTTGAAGATGCACAGAAGCTTGCGAAAGCGTGGAAAATTAGGCCTCGAAATTTAGGTCAGGTTGGGCATATCAATGTTGCATCAGGCTTTGGACACTTTCCTGAAATTTATGATCATTTAATTTTTGATAAGCAAAACTTCTTTATCAGTAATACTGATGACAACAAGTTGTTATTTAAATTTGCAATTTAATCATTGCCTTTTAAGCTTGCAAAATCGTTTTAAATTTGCTTATTGATTTCAATAAGCTTTCTCTCTTTTGAGGAGTCATCATGTCGCAGCGATCCCGAGTGCTGCCAGGTTTTGGTCTTTCACTAGGCTTCACCCTAGCGTATCTATCATTAATCGTACTGATACCACTGTCTGCCGTATTCATAAAATCATTAGGCGTAGGTTGGGATGGTTTATGGGAAATCTTGAGCTCTGAACGTATTTTAAAATCATTACAGCTCAGTTTTACCACCGCCCTGATTGCAGCCTTGATCAATGTCATTTTCGGCTTTTTATTGGCTTGGTGCTTAGTCCGTTATTCATTTCCTGGTAAACGTATAGTAGATGCATTGGTGGACTTACCCTTTGCATTACCTACAGCGGTCGCAGGTATTGCGTTAACCTCTTTATATGCATCAACAGGTTGGATTGGTCACTTGCTCGAGCCTTTAGGGATTAAAATTGCCTATACCTCACTAGGTATTACGCTTGCTTTAATTTTTATTGGTATTCCTTTTGTGGTTCGTACAGTACAGCCAGTTTTAAGTGATCTTGAAACTGAGCTAGAAGAAGCCGCTTCTGCATTGGGTGCAAATCGTTTTCAGATCGTGACAAGAATCATTTTACCGATTTTATTTCCAGCATTACTGACTGGCTTTGCATTGGCATTTGCTCGCGGTGTAGGTGAATATGGTTCGGTCATCTTTATTGCAGGCAATATTCCTTACGAAACTGAAATTGCTCCGTTAATGATCATTACCCGTCTTGAAGAATATGATTATGCAGGTGCGACGACAATTGCAGTGGTGATGCTGGTGATTTCTTTCTTTATCTTGTTCCTGATTAACTTGGTACAAGCTTGGGCAAGTCGCCGTACAGGGAGAACCGCACGATGAGCTTAAATACCAACAGCAATGCTTTGGCTGAAAAACTGCAATCTCGTGATGCGACACGTGAACCTGCCTGGGTACGTAATACCCTACTAATTATTGGTCTGATTTTCTTTTTAGGCTGCTTAATTCTACCGTTGGTGCTTATTTTTGTTGAAGCATTTAAACAAGGGATTCAAGTCTACTTTGCATCACTGGTTGATCCTTATACCCTGTCTGCGGTCAAACTCACATTATTGACTGCAGCCATTGCAGTACCTTTGAATGTGATTTTTGGTGTTACAGCAGCATGGTGTGTTGCCAAGTTTAATTTCCGTGGAAAATCATTTTTAACCACCATTATTGATACACCATTTTCAGTCTCACCCGTCATTGCTGGTTTAATGCTGGTTTTGATCTTTGGCTCACAAGGTTGGATTGGATCATGGTTAATTGAACATGATATTAAAATCCTCTATGCGACACCGGCCATTATCCTCGCAACTGTATTTATTACTGTTCCTTTTGTTGCACGTGAATTAATTCCATTGATGGAAGCACAAGGAACAGAAGAAGAAGAAGCTGCAATTGTGCTCGGTGCTTCGGGTTGGCAAACCTTTTGGAAAATTACCATTCCAAATATTAAATGGGGTCTCATTTATGGCGTGATTTTGTGTAATGCACGTGCCATGGGTGAATTCGGTGCAGTATCTGTGGTTTCAGGCCATATTCGTGGTGAAACCAATACCTTGCCGTTGCATATTGAAATTTTATATAACGAACCAAATTCGATTAGTGCTGCTTTTGCCGTCTCAACATTGTTAGCATTTTTGGCCATCATTACCTTGATTTTAAAAACATGGGTTGAATATCGCCAAGAAAAACAAGATCGCGAAAGTAAAGAATCAACTGTTTCTTAAGGAATTGCACATGAGTATTCAAGTTAAAAATATTGAAAAAAACTTCGGTGCATTCCATGCACTTAAAAACATATCGCTAGATTTTCCAGAAGGTCAACTGGTTGCCCTGCTTGGTCCTTCTGGCTGTGGTAAAACCACATTACTGCGTATTATTGCTGGTTTGGAATCAACTGATAGAGGACAAGTTATCCTTGAAGGTACAGATGCAACCAATATTCACGTACGTGAACGTCAAGTTGGTTTTGTATTTCAGCATTACGCACTGTTCCGTCATATGACTGTTTATGACAATGTTGCATTTGGTTTACGTGTTCGTCCAAAGGCGACTCGACCAAATGAAACTGAAATCAAAAAACGTGTTACCCGTTTATTGGATTTGGTACAACTTGGTTTCTTAGCAGATCGTTATCCAGCGCAATTGTCTGGTGGTCAACGTCAACGTATTGCATTGGCACGTGCCTTGGCTGTTGAACCACGTGTATTGCTCTTAGATGAACCTTTTGGTGCATTGGATGCCAAAGTACGTAAAGAATTACGCCGTTGGTTACGGACTTTACATGATGAATTACATATCACGTCAATCTTTGTAACCCATGACCAAGAAGAAGCCTTAGAAGTTGCTGATCAAATCGTGGTGATGAACAAAGGTGATATTGAACAAATTGGTTCACCGCGTGAAGTTTATGAAAAACCAGCAACTCCGTTTGTATTTGACTTTTTAGGTCAAGCAAACCGTTTTGAAGGTGAAAACCATCAAGGCATCATTCAAATTGGTGAAGATCGCATCCAACTGCCTTCGGCTACACAAACTGCCAATGGTAAAGTGATTGCCTTTGCCCGCCCAAATGAATTAAAAATTCACACGCAACCGACTGAAAATACAATTCAAGCAACCTTCTTACGTGAGTTGTGGATTGCGGGTAAAGTCATGGCAGAGTTACAAGATCGTCAAGGACAACTGATTGAAATTGCTTTAAATCCTGATGAAGCAAAATTACATCAATATCGACCAAATCAAACAGTTTGGGTAAGTGCATCTACACTTCACCTATTTGAAAATCAAGTCGCGTAATCGACGACAGGATGAATATTACCCCTATTCATCCACATTTGAGGTATCGAACATCATGAACTTTCAACAATTACGAATTATCCGAGAAACAGTTCGTCAAAATTACAACTTAACCGAAGCCTCTGCTGCACTTTATACTTCACAATCTGGTGTCAGTAAGCATATTAAAGATTTAGAAGATGAATTGGGTGTACAGCTGTTTGTTCGTAAAGGCAAACGGTTATTAGGTTTGACAGAACCTGGTCAAGCATTGTTGAGTATTGTTGAACGCATGCTTATTGATGCTGACAATATTAAACGTCTTGCTGATGATTTTAATAAAGTTGATGAAGGTACGCTTACAATCGCAACAACACATACACAAGCACGTTATGTGTTACCACCGATTGTCAATTTATTTAAAAAAGCATTTCCCAAAGTTCATTTGATTTTGCAACAAGCCAGTCCTGTTGAAATCTCTGAAATGTTATTGCTTGGTTTGGCTGATATCGGTATTGCAACTGAATCACTAACCACTGAAGATAATTTGGGCAGTGTATCTTTCTATAACTGGAAACACAGTATTATCACGCCACAAGATCACCCACTGACTAAGCTTAATCCTAAAGAGATTACCTTAGAAAAATTGGCTGAATTTCCAATTATCACCTACCACGGTGGTTTTACAGGACGTTCTAAAATTGATAAAGCATTTGAAGATGCCAATTTAGATGTAGATATCGTCATGTCAGCACTGGATGCCGATGTGATCAAAACCTATGTTGAACTGGGAATGGGTGTCGGTATTGTCAATGATGTCGCTTATGACACAGAACGCGATAAACGTCTAAAACAAATCGATACTGATATTTTTGGTTTAAATACGACATGGATTGCGGTTCGTAAAGGGCACTTACTTCGTGGCTATGGCTATGAGTTTATTTCACTCTGCTCTCCAGAAGCCGATATCAAAGCATTGAAAAAAATTGCCTATCCTGATGATTAAACTTTGAGATAAATGATTAAGAAAGAAATTAAGTCATCGAGGAATAAATCGTCAATAAATAAACCATCAAATAGTCATGACGATCAAAGATAGAGAGCTACGGCTCTCTTTTTATCATTTAAAAATAAAACACAAACTCTTAAGAATAATTAATCTATTTGATTTTATTTAATATTTTAATATAAGCATGCCTTTTTAGTATAAAATTTAGTCTTATCTTTATCACTGATCAATTTATTTCGGGGGGAATGAATGAATTCTATTGCTTGGGGCTTAACCCTTGGAAGCTTTGTTCCTCTTTTTAGCCATGCCGCAGGTATGGAGAAATCTGACCAGTCTATCCTTGCTTTTTTAGAACCGAATCATTATGTAGAATTGTCTTATGCAGAGCTCTATGCAGATGTTTCAGGGCAACTACCTCAACATGAGCAATTCAAACAACTCGGCGTTCAAGATTTTTCAACGGGAAATCTTGTAAATAACTACCATTTTGTCAATGCTGCTGCAAAACTACAAATTGCCCCACAACTTTCATTTGGGCTGATTTATGATCAGCCTTATGGTGTGGATCTTAGTTATGAATATCGCCCGCAAAGCTATGCTGGAAAGCAGCTTTTAGAAGCTGGTCAATTTAATTTTAAAAGCCAAAATCTTTCGATGTTATTGGGTTATCAGCCTAGTGCGAATTGGAATATATACGCTGGTGGCATTTATCAACAGTTCGAGGGCGAACTCAAAGTCTTTGGAGCGAACTATTCAGCGATGAGTGGCTATCATGCACAGCTAAAACAAAGTTCAGGTCATGGTTGGCTTGCAGGTTTAAGTTATCAAATTCCGGAGTATGCGGTAAAAACTGCGATTACCTATCGTTCCAAGATCAATCATCAGTCGGTAATCACTGAAGATGTTGCAGAGCAAACTTTAAGTATTATTCCTTTCGCTAAAACACAAATCACCACACCTCAATCCGTCAATCTGGATCTTCAAACAGGTTTAACTCCATCGAATATTCTTTATGGCAATTTGAGGTGGGTCAATTGGAAAGATTTTGAAATTCAACCTAGACAATTTGGTGCAGTGGTTAAGATTGCTGCAGAACAATACCCTGAACTCATCAAACCTTTTAATCTGATTGATTATAACAAGGATCAATGGTCTGCAAAGCTTGGGCTTGCACATGTATTTTCACAACAATGGGTTGCCACTACAGATATTTCATGGGACTCAGGCAATGCTAATCCCGCTGGAACACTGAATCCTTCAGATGGTTTTTATGCTTTAGGCTTGGGTGCTTTATATAACATCAATCCTCAGAGCTTTATTTCTTATGGTGTTAAATATTTTAAATTCAATAAAGCAAAAGTTAGCAACTTAGATGCCAATACTTCAATTGTCCAAAACTCAAGTTTATCTGAAGTGGGCCATAATGATGCTTTTGCACATGGAATTCGAGTTGGCTATCGCTTTTAATTCATCTAAAAATTCAGCTATCAAAAATACCAAGTTCAAAATAAAAAACGAGCCGAAGCTCGTTTTTTATTACATGATAATCAATAAATTACCAGTGGTAGCTTACACCCACTTTACCAACTGGTAACCATTGATATTTGTCATCGTTACGAATTTTATTTTCTAAACGATCGGCTGCATCAGCACCCGAAGTTGGGTCAATGCTACCTACTTCTTGTAAACCAACAGCTTTTAAGTTCGCTGTAGGATTACCAGTGTAATAAGCACCTACTTCACCAAATACACCAATATTTTTAGTGATTTTTGGAGCCCAACCAAAACCTACATATGGAGCAATTTGGTTATCGTAATCTACTTTACCATTGATGCTACCATTGCCATTTGGTGCATAGTAGTTTTTACCATCAATTTTCAGAGTGTCATTTGAGTTATGTAAAGATTTCTTTAAATCATATTTACTGTCAACATAACCAACACCTGCTGCAACATAAAGACCTTGGGCTAAAGCATTTTCACTTGCACCCCATGGGCGAATTTCAGCATTTAAATAAGTCAAATTATTGTCTAAATCCATGTCATATTTAGTGCCATCAATAGACAAATCATCTGACCAAGAAATATCACCACCGTTATAACCCAATGCTAAACCAACATAAGGGTTTGCAGTCCAAAGTAAAGCACCACCGTAACCAGTTGTACCTACTTCAAGACGAGCGCCAGTAGGGATTAATTTATTTGCTTCAAATGCATAACCTTGGTCAACAACAGACCCATCAGCCATTGCTAAACCAGAAGCAGATAATGCAGCTGTAACAGCCAATAATTTTAACACTTTCATTTATGTCTCCTCAAAAAATAGAGTTTGTTCTTTAATCATTAATGTGTTGGACTCGAAACGATAATATGTGATTCTCTCCGCACAATTAATAGAGAAATTGATTACTTTTTGTTATTTTTTGATACAATTAGATATTAATTGTTGTTTTTAAAAGAAATAAATTAAATAAAAACTTAACAATTCACTTATTTGGTTGTTTTATTTTAAATTATAAGATTAGTTTTTTCGATTGAAACTAGATTTTATATCTAATCTGAGTCCAATTTGGTGTAGAATCTTTTAAAATTTTTTGGGAAGGAAGATCATGTCTCAGCTTTCAACGATCATTGAACAAGCGTTTGAAAACCGTGCCAACTTTACAGCAGTAGATTGTCCTGCTGACGTACGTCAAGCTGTTGAAGAAGCCATTGCTGGCTTAGATAACGGCACACTTCGTGTAGCTGAAAAAATTGACGGTGAATGGATTGTTCACCAATGGTTGAAAAAAGCTGTTTTATTGTCTTTTAAATTAAACGATAACAAGCCAATTGAATCATGTGATCTTCGTTTCTATGACAAAGTAGAGACTAAATTTACTGGTTGGACTGAAGAACAATTTAAAGCTGCTGGTGTACGTGTTGTACCACCTGCTGTTGCGCGTAAAGGTTCTTTCCAAGCGAAAAATGTCGTATTGATGCCTTCTTATGTAAACATTGGTGCTTATGTAGATGAAGGCACAATGGTTGATACATGGGCGACTGTAGGTTCATGCGCTCAAATCGGTAAAAATGTTCACCTTTCAGGTGGTGTAGGTATTGGTGGTGTTCTTGAACCACTTCAAGCAAACCCAACAATCATTGAAGATAACTGCTTTATTGGTGCACGTTCTGAAATCGTTGAAGGCGTGATTGTTGAAGAAGGCTCAGTTATTTCAATGGGCGTATTCATTGGTCAATCGACTAAGATTTTTGACCGTGAAACAGGTGAAATCCATTATGGTCGTGTACCAGCTGGATCTGTCGTTGTTTCAGGCAGCCTACCATCTAAATGTGGTACATATAGCTTATATGCTGCAATTATTGTCAAGAAAGTTGATGCTAAAACGCGTGCTAAAACAAGCTTGAACGAATTGCTTCGCGAAGACTAATTTATATTCCCTCGTGGAATTTTAGTTATCTAGCGTAGCAATCGCTTCTCATCTCTACGGTCAATCGTGATCGTAGAGATTTTTCATTTTGTAATCTGTGGTAAATTTCATGAATTCTCTTCGTTCTTCGACTATTCCTGTTTCTGATCCGTCTGCGGGGCTGCGTATCACGGAGATTTTTTATTCATTGCAAGGTGAAGCCAACACTGCGGGTTTACCGACTGTTTTTATTCGTTTAACAGGTTGCCCATTACGCTGTACCTATTGCGATACCACCTATTCTTTTGAAGGTGGCGAACGCCAATCGCTTGACCAAATAATTCAAACAACATTAGATTATAAAACTCCTTATATCTGTGTCACAGGTGGCGAACCGCTCGCTCAGCCCAATGCCTTACCCTTAATGCAACGTTTGGCAGATTTAGGTTGTGAAGTTTCTTTAGAAACCAGCGGCGCTTTAGATGTCTCTAAAGTCGACCCACGTGTTTCAAAAGTTTTAGATTTAAAAACCCCAACTTCGGGTGAGGTTGCACGGAATTTACTCAGCAATCTTGATCATTTAACTCAACATGATCAAATCAAATTTGTGATTTGTAATCGTGAAGACTATGAGTGGTCTAAACAGCAAGTTGAACAATACGCTTTAGCGCAAAAAGTCAGCACAGTATGGTTTTCTCCTGCTTTTGCAGTGGAAAAAGGTGCGGCACGCTTGCCTCAGCTTGCACGCGATTTAGCACAATGGATTTTAGAAGACCATCTCCCTGTTCGCTTCCAGTTGCAATTACATAAATTGCTTTGGAACGATGAAACTGGTCGTTAAATTTATCGTCAATTATTAATATTTGGAGAGTTGGATATGCGCCCTCGTGCCGTAGTCTTATTATCTGGTGGCTTAGACTCAACGACGTGTTTGGCTTGGGCTCAAGCAAACTATGACTGTATTGCCCTAAGTTTTATGTATGGTCAACGCTCTACCACTGAACTCGATGCAGCCCGCGCTTTAACGCAACGTGCAGGTGTAGAACATCGTGTGATTAATATCGATTTAGGTAATTTAGGCGGTTCAGCGCTTACAGACCTTAACATTGATGTTCCTGATCATGAAACAGATGGTATTCCTGTAACTTATGTTCCAGCACGTAACACCATTTTCTTGTCTTATGCACTTGCAGCAGCAGAAGTTTTTGATGCTCAAGCAATCGTGATTGGTATCAATGCTGTTGATTATTCAGGATATCCTGATTGTCGCCCAGAGTTTATCGAGGCCTTTGCTAACATGGCTCGTCTTGCAACAAAAGTAGGCGTAGAAGGAAAACCGCTTAAGTTTGAAACACCTCTGTTACATTTATCCAAAGCGAATATAATACGCTTAGGCATCGAACATGGCGTAGACTATAGTCAAACGGTTTCATGCTATCAAGCAGATGACCAAGGACGTGCTTGTGGCAAATGTGATAGCTGCCGACTTCGTAAAGAAGGTTTTAAGGATGCAGGTATTGCAGACCCAACACGTTATATACCGCAATAACAAGGTACTGTTTATGAAAAATTTAAAATCAAGTCTTA